ATATAACATTTATTTATTTTTATCATTCAAAAATTAAAAAAAAAAAAAAAAAAATGATTCAACACTAAGTCCATTTTTTTTTTTATGTGGAAGGTGCACACCGGGTGTTGGATCCGGGTGTGCACACATCATGGTCCATTGCGATTCCCTCCCAAGAGCCTCTCAACTCCCTCATTTCTAATCCCGGAAATATTGGAGGAATTGAGTTACCTTATTTTTCACATTTTACATGAAATGTTTTATAAAAATTATTAATTTACTATTAAAATTATATAATTTAATTTAATTTAATTTTTTAGATTCTTTAATAAAATCAAAAAGGACAATGATTGGTGCACACTCGGATCCAACACCCGGGTGTGCACCCCCCATAAAAAAAAAATTGGACCGGGTGATGGGCATTTTTTTTTTATATGATGTGTGCACACCCGGATGTTGGATCCAGGTGTGCACACATCATTTTCCAATTAAAAAAATATAATCCTGCGTTCCATTTTTCTTATTTATCTAAACAAAATTATCACCAATGCTTTCTTCTCCTTTAAAAGTTTAAAACCCTTCGCTTTGCTTTCCTTAATTTCCTTTCTTATTTAGTAACTTTTATCCAAACATATAATAAGATTTAATTCATTGGTTAAATACTAATTTTAGTACATGAATTTTAAATTTTGCATTTTTTTATCTTTGAACTAATTTAAACACTTTTTGTCTCTTAATTTTTCAATGATAAATATAAGAACCACATTAATGCAAAGACCAAAAAAAAAACAAGCCAAGTTTAACATTTAGGAATTAAAATTAGCATTTAATCTAACTAATTCTATAACACTAAGATATTCCTCAATGAACAATAATTGGTACATAATCTAATCCAACATACTATACAATATAATTATTAAGAAATTATTATTTTTAAATTTAGATTTAAGGTGAAAAAACCTTTTAACTGTAGAATTTAATAGTTAAATTTATGGGTATTGATGGATGTGTTGAATTAGAAAATGTACCAATAATATTTCTTCCCCAATATTAGTGAAAACTAATCATGTCTAATTCAGTAGTTAAATGATGAAAAGGGGTCAATCCCCACTTTTCCCTTGGTAGCATGTGCACTAAGTGCAACCCAACCGCCTTCAACCCATACCTAATTTCGAAATAAAAAACAAAACTCATGGTACATTTTTTGTGTGAGCTAGGGTTCTTGCACGTGGTTATGGCCACACAAAAATGTTTATTAAAATCACATAAATATATTGTAAATTTATTTAATTAATTGATTTTATCAATTTATAACTAGTTAAGATGTTTGGAAATATTAGCATTTATATTCTAATTTTAAATTGTTAAATAGTAAATATCAATTGTTTATAAACTATTAGGTGTTGGTAATAGCTATTAGTTGCTCACGAATGTCAAAACAAATAAATTTACGATGTATTTGTGTGGCCTTAACCATCGGCAGGGTTCCCATAAGAAAATGAAAACCTTCCCCAAAAAAACTAATATTATATTGAATAATTACATAAAAGTTACAGTAGAAGGTTATTCTCTCAAAATTTTTTAGAAAACTTGTTTAAAAACTCACAATTCAATTGATATTTTCAAAAATTGTCTCTTGGATTAAAAATTTATTTATATAGATCATTCATGTCAATTTTTAAGTTGATCTATTCATATCCTTTGAGAAACTCTATTTATTAACATATATTTAACAATATTAAATTTTTGTAATTAATGAACTAATTAAGTATATTAGATTAAATATAAAATGGACATACAAAATCTACATCAATAAAACATTTAATCCAATAGTTAATTTTTAGAAATATTAATTAAAATATGATATTTTTTAAGATGTATTCCTACAAAAACACTTTTCCCAATATATAAGGTTACTTAGATTCTAAATTATAGGGG